GGCGGACTGGGCTGGGGGATGGGGCAATAGCCCCCCTGGGCCAATCTGATGCCCTGTAAAAAGGCTGCACTGCTTCCAGCACATACATGCCTAAAGGCTTCCTGGTGAAGTGGAGTAAACCCTCCCAGCATGGATGGTGTAGGCAGTCTGAGCAGAGGCCGGATCCATGCCCCACCGGAGGCTAGCCATTCCCGACCGAGCTGCCCCGGCTCCCCCCTGTAGCCCCTAGCCACCCCCCCATACCAGCTAGTTCAGGAACCCATAGTCAGTGCAGCAGGTGCTGTCTAGCCCGACCCACCCAGTGAGCAGAGAGTCCCTAGAGCAGAGCTTCAGCCTGGCATGGGGGTCGGGTGAAGGCAGGGAAAAGGGACAGTATGAGGAGGCTCTGGGTTGTACTTTCCTCCTGGCCCAAAAGTGTCCAGTCAGCCCCTGGGTAAACCCAACTCAAAACTCATTTTTTAGTTTCGCATCAGTGCTGGTGGGTCAAATCATATGCTGGGTTCTTCTAAATTTGAGAAATTCGGTGGTTAGAGACTCCCATCAGAATGTCATATTCTGCAGAACTGCAGCAGCCACTGCAACGTCAATGGGTGTAGAATTTGGGAGCACAGCTGCTAGAAGTGACATCTTTGTTGTGGCATTGTTGATGGGGCAGAGCTGCAAACCCACGTGGGAAATCTCTCCAATGGAGTCCCCAAATGAATCCGCCATGTGATTTAAATCCACTGATACACACCCAAAACCAAAATATGAGATTTTCCTTTGAAGGGAATCCCTGACTCATTGACCAGTTCTGAGAACCTTCTTTGAGCCGAAATACCCTAGTGCCTGGTGAAGCAGTGCCTTGGAACTGGCATGGGCCACTTGAGTCTGGGAACATTCTATGGGAAGCCTTTAAGTTGCCCCATACTTGATTCAATCAAGGCCATGTGGTTGGAGATATTGGTTGATTGCCCTCAAGTCTTGCTGATCCTAATCTTGTTTCTTTAGTGCAGTCAGTTGGAGGACTGGGCCAATCATAGAAATAAACCCAAAACATGATGTCATACAGTTACATCACAACACTGGAGCTGAAAGGGAGGGGTAAAAATCTAATTGTGGGAGGGGCTAGTGCATTAAGATTACAAACCATTTGAACAATCATCTATCATGATCACCCATCTAAACCAAGGCAATAATTAGGCCATGGTAGACACATCAACAGAGTTGGCTTTGACTGGCATTAGGCAACACACATATTCATCACAAGGAGCTTACTGACCATACATTACAGTACAAGTGTGAACCCATAAGAGACATATAGTGAAATTACTTTTAGTGCCTAAATCATGCAGATAATTTAGGGGCTGCTGGCTATGGATACAAATATCTCATTATATGGCATAGTATCCAGTTTTCACAGAAATGCCTAATTGTGTCTGACTCCTCCATGTAGCCCGGTTCCCCTGGCTGCATTTCTAGATTCCCTTGAAGCAGGTGCTGCCACCCCTGGTGACATCTGGTATTGCAGTCCTTCCAGCTAGATTAACATTAAACCTACATTCCAGGATCAAAGCCCTTTTGTAAAAAACTGCAGGTAAACATTAGGTTTAGTCTAACAAGGTGCCTGCCATCTCGTTGATTTTTCTCTGTTATTCATATCTGACAGGTTTCCAGGAAGAAAACTTCTGCTCTGATGCTGCTCACTGTGGGTCTTGGTTCCTTCAAGAGTAGAGTTGCAGGAACTGCTATGCCCATGTCCATTCACAATCAAAGCATATAAATAGCTTCCACACTCCGAGATGTAGCTCTTCTCTCTGTTTTCAATTTGTAAAAAAAAGAAACTGCGTACACCAATGTACACCAATGTCTCCACCGAAAACCACCCTCTTTGATGCACTTTATCACTACCAGCTTGCCAAGCCAGTAGTGGTGAAGTGCGTTGGAACGGTGGTTTCGGGTAAAGACATCAGTGTATGTAGTGCCTTTTATTTGACAAATTCAGTAAAGAAAGAACCAAGTTTCAGAGTGTGGCTTATATTATTATACTTTATTTGATTTAGAGCCATTTGAACATTAGCCAAGAGCTGGTGTGAAGACCGTATCTGAAATCAGCCAGTCCAAGGCACACTAATGGCTAGCAAAGGTGCAGCCACAGATTCCTACCCAGTACTATGAAAGCATCACCTATAAAAACCAATGTGTCTCAACGTGGCTGATTTGGGATGATTCAGACCAGGGGCGGACTGACAACTCATGGTGCCCCCGGGCAATAGGGGATCATGGGGCCCCTGTGTCCTCACCCACACCCAAAAAAGCCTATGAAAAAGCCAATGAAAGGTACCAGGGGCATCTCATGGGGTCCCCTACTGAACCCGGGCCCTCGGGCAGTGCCCGAGTGCTCGAATGGTCAGTTTGCCCGATTCAGACCCTACAGAGTCCTCAGCACAAATTAATGGTATGCCATTGAAAGGGTTTAACTTTCCTAAAGTACCTCCCTAAACTGGTGCAACACTTGATATTTGCTCTATAATAAAAATATTTTTTGCTATAAGGTCTAGAGTTAAAACATTTTTTTCTATTAGGAAAAAATATTATAGCAATTTCACATTTACAGAAAGACTTTTCCTCAATTTTCTATAAATAATGAAAATATCGGCACGCTTTAACACCATCAGTCTTACGTAAGGCATAGAACGTGTACAGTGCAGTATGAAACCGCAACCGGATTACATCTTTCATGATGAACTTTGATAACGTAGCCTCCAATTGGCTGTTGAGGATAACCACGCTGTGCTCTCTATATTGTACACATTTGTAGGTGAAATTTGTCTTTTTTTATCACAGTGGTTTTACTTATAGATGTGAGATACTATTATGTAAAAAATAGATTCACTTTTACAGTACATTATACTCAATCTGTTAAAACTATTACCACTTCTAGGTTGTATTCGCTTTAAAATAAAACTCTCTAGGTGATTCTAGATTAGTGCTCTATATAAAACATATATGGCAAATAGTTTACGGAGAACGGTAATGAATTGGTAGAAAAATGTGCAAGTGATGTAAAAGGAATCACCTGCAATATGACAAACTGGACAGCAGGTGGAGCTAGTCACTCAATTATTCAAGTATGACTCCCATAAAAGGCTAAGGGGCTTTTTTTTTTTTTTTTTTTACTAGAAGCTAAATGTGCGCTTCACTTGTACAATTCCCAAAAAGCTGACGCTATTTGTTTTCCACAATATTTTGCCGCTTTTTACATAATTATCAAGGCAAAACCCAATTCTGCCTATCAATAAAAAAGCTAAATTAACTTTTCACCTATCTTGAAATGTTACATTTCTTTTGTTCTACTTGATCATCAGATTTGACTCGTTATTTCAAATGGTGGCAATCATTCTTAAAGTGGCGTGTTTTTTTTTTCAGGGTTCTTTGTTGCCCTCCTTATTTCACAGGTTAGAAAACCAGCAATTAAGAATGACGAAAAGACAGCAATATCTGGAGCAATTAAATGTTAGATTTTGCCACTTGTTTGCAGCTAACTATTTTTGCTGGATATTGTTCATAAACTAGGATGGTGCTGTACGGCCAGATCTGTCACTGAAAAAAATGGATGGAAAGACTCGACAATCGACGAATGGCAAGCAGGAGAAATGCTCACCCAAGCGGTCTAGTTGCCCCTCATACTCACTTGCAGTGATTAGGCTAACACATCTCTTGCCTATGTGCAGCCAAGGTTAACCCCTGTCTGTGTGAGAATGATCTTTTTGCCAAGTCAGAACTTTTTCTGGTCCATCCAACTGCATACTTATCTTAATTACAGCTAAGCGGTCTCTTGAAACAGTTGTGATTTATCCCTCAACTATCTTCACTCATTCAAATGAAAAATCATGCTTTATAGTTTTTACCACTGGCTGAAATAGTTGCCTGCCAACTGTTAAAGCCCACCTTAAATCATGCCCTCTTAAAGATTTTCCAGATTTTCCACTCCGATGCACACTTCTCTTACAGGTAGGCTGTCTCTTGAAAAAGATATGGTTTATCCCTTAACTATCTCCACTCTTTAAGTGACAGAAAGCATCTCTTACAGTTTTGCCATCGGATGATATAGCAACCTGTAAAGCCATCGTTAAATGATGCCCTCGCAAATATTTTCCACCCAGTAGCATACTTCCTCTGATTACTGCTAAGTTGTCCTTTGAAACAGATGCTGTTTATCCCTTAACAACTATCTTCACTCAACAAACCACAGGAAGCAGCTCTTACGGTTTTACAATTGGCTGAAATAGCTGTCTGTCAGATGTTAGACTGCTATAGCCAACCACAAAACAAGCCGTTTCCAATTTCCACCAAGCAGCATGCTTCCCTTGATTACAGCCAAGTTGTCTCAGAAACAGATGCAGTTTATATCTTAACAATTATCTTCACTCAGCAAATGACAGAACTGGCCCTTACAGCTTTACAACTGGCTGAAACAGCTGCTTGTCAGCTGTTAAACTGTTATAGCCAAATAAAAAACAAGCTTTTTCCAATTTTCACCCAGTTGCATACTTCTCTTGATTACAGCTAAGTTGCCTCTTGAAACAGATGCAAGTTTTTTCCTTAGCAAATCAGCCATTTCATTCACTGTATTGCAAGTCAGTAACATGAGATATTTTCAGTTCGCTCCCAGGATGCATTCTTTAAAATGTTGGTTTAGCAAATATCTTACTACTTGGTATTTTTTAAAGTCTACTTTTCAACTTAGTGAACCCATTATGATGGCTGGCACGTCATGGCACCAAACGTTATGTAATGCAAAGGTAGATGTAGTTAAATATAAAACCTTTCTAGCTCTGGTAATCTTCCCACTGCATACTGTAACACGTACTTCCATGGCATCACAGCTAGGTTGGGCGGTCATATCACAGACCCCAATAGCTCAGTCCTATACAGTTAAGCCACCATTCTGCTCTATGGATAGAGCCAGAAAGAGACTGTATATCGGATATGTGATCAGGAACACTGAGGTCTGCTCCTCATACTGCAGTCCTGTGCTTCCTGATCAATAACTGCACAGGTCCCTCTGGAACAGACTTAATGATATTCCAGGCGTCGTAGTGCATGAGACCAATCAAAGTCTTTCCACCAATTGAAATGATTTCATCTCCTGCTTCTATTCTTCCTTCTTGCTCAGCAGCGCCACCTATGAACAAAACAGAAGTAAAGTTCAGTTCTACATCATTCATGACAGGTTTATTAGTATTAAATGCAGATATACAATTGCATCTTCTGGTGCTGTACAAAGTAGGTGACATGAAATGTCTGCAGTGACAAGTATATAACGTCTATAAACCAGGGGCAGACCTACCATTTGTACAGACTGTGCATCTCTACAAGGGCCTTGTGGTAGCTAGAGGCACATTTATATTAGATGTGGATCAGGTGGGTGTCAGTCTTCTAGTTTTGTAACATCCAAGTGGTGTTGGGCAGCATGAATCCCTACTAATCCTCACTTGGGGGTACAAAGATATGCAGGATGCCCCTTCCATTTCCTCTTCACATCATATAGACTAGAAGTGTTCACCTGATCCTAGTTTTGCATTATGATCCATGAAATAGTTGGGGGTATCACAAAGGATAATTATTACCTATATCTACCTATCCATCTACATTAAGCAAGTGTTTGTACTTGGGCAACAGTTGAAGGCAGGGGAGGAAGGGGCACAAAATTGCTTTATCTCTTGGTGATTTTGTCTGTTTTAGGTTAATTGTACCAAATGCAATATCTCCTGCGCTCCGGGACCCAGACCGGTGGTGAGTAGATGGAATCAAACTCCAAAAAGGAAGGAACCACTGGAATAGACAAGGTCGTGCAGCTCCACACCAGGGCTGGGGAAGCCCAAACAAAACTGTGAAGAACAACAAAAAAAAAAGAAGCGCACCAACCTTGCGCATTACCTCAATAACCAAAAATTTATTAAGTAAAAGAATGGTACTCACAAACAGCGAATAAAAACAAGCATGTAAGTCCTCAAAGGGACTTTAGAGGCAAGATGCCAATGCGAATCCCATCATGGAGGAAGCCACTCAGTACAGCTGTATAAAGAGACACTACATCAAGGGACAGCCATCTATAACCCTGTTCCCATTTATATTCTGCTAATATCTCTAATATATGGCTGGAGTCTCTGACGAATGATGAGAGATTCGTGACTATGTCTTTTAAGAAATGGTCAATATAGCTGCCTAAATTGCTTGTCAGGCTGCCTATGCCAGAAATGATGGGTCTACCAGGGGGGGTTCTCTCTGTTTTTATGTATTTTCGGAATATGATAAAAAAAATGGAGTAGCAGGATGTTTGATGTATAAAAAGAGAAATTCCTCTTTAGTGAGTATACCGTCTGATAATGCCATTTCCAGCAATAGTTTATATTCAGCTTGGTACTGGACAGTGGGATCAATGGGGAGGACCTCATAGGTCTGACGATCGTTCAAAAGTCTTAAAGCCTCACTAATGTAGGTAGCTCTGTCTTGAACCTCCTTTATCAGCTTGTCTAATAATTAGATTTTTATTTTCTTTAATGATTTTGAGGGAGGCTTTAAGTGGATCCTGTTGTAAGTACTGTTTTTGTGTAGATGCACTGGTGTTACAGATTTTCTTAAATTCTGTAAGCACGGATTCATAGAAAGTAGGTAAATCGTGACCTTTGACCCAATGGGGGTAGAAAGTGGATTTTGGTTTAAAATTAGTGTGCATAATTTCTCCCTGAGACCCAAGCGCCATTTCAGTAAGGTTGAGAAACTCGGATGTGTTGTCCATCGATACACCCTCTATATACAGGTTTTCTAGAATGTCTAGCATAGGCGTTTCTAATGACATCTCCGTCAAGGAGGAATCGGGGAGGAGATGTAAATGATTTTCCTTCTCACTAGGCACCTCCACTGGTCCCATCTATCATCCAATTCAAAAGGGGCAAATAGATATTGATGGGCGAGGCAAATGTACACCCAGACCGAAATCAACCCAATTTTTTAAGGGAGGGGGCTGCGATTCGTCCAACATCCGCAGCCCCATCAGACCAGTTAACTACGTCAATCCCAGAAAGGAAAAAGAGGGAAAGCGTACGAGACAAGGAAAGAGAGGAGGAAAGGGACACAAAAAGAGGAAGGAGACAATTATAGAAGCTCCCCTCTCCACTATCAAAATCTATAAACTTATCACAATCAACCTTCTCGGATTCTGAACTTGAACTCCTGAAAAAAGGTCTGAATTTTGCCCTTCCCAATCCACCCAATCTGTTCGATCTTTTTGTAGATCTGAATAAATTTATCAGAAATCTGACAGTTAAGCAGTTCTTTCTGTTAAAAGACAATACGCCTAGTGAGAAGGAAAATCATTTACATCTCCTCCCCGATTCCTCCTTGACGGAGATGTCATTAGAAACGCCTATGCTAGACATTCTAGAAAACCTGTATATAGAGGGTGTATCGATGGACACACATCCGAGTTTCTCAACCTTACTGAAATGGCGCTTGGGTCTCAGGGAGAAATTATGCACACTAATTTTAAACCAAAATCCACTTTCTACCCCCATTGGGTCAAAGGTCACCATTTACCTACTTTCTATGAATCAGTGCTTACAGAATTTAAGAAAATCTGTAACACCAGTGCATCTACACAAAAACAGTACTTACAACAGGATCCACTTAAAGCCTCCCTCAAAATCATTAAAGAAAATAAAAATGTAATTATTAGACAAGCTGATAAAGGAGGTTCAAGACAGAGCTATCTACATTAGTGAGGCTTTAAGACTTTTGAACGATCGTCAGACCTATGAGGTCCTCCCCATTGATCCCACTGTCCAGTACCAAGCTGAATATAAACTATTGCTGGAAATGGCATTATCAGACGGTATACTCACTAAAGAGGAATTTCTCTTTTTATACATCAAACATCCTGCTACTCCATTTTTTTATCATATTCCGAAAATACATAAAAACAGAGAGAGAACCCCCCTGGTAGACCCATCTTTTCTGGCATAGGCAGCCTGACAAGCAATTTAGGCAGCTATATTGACCATTTCTTAAAAGACATAGTCACGAATCTCTCATCATTCGTCAGAGACTCCAGCCATATATTAGAGATATTAGCAGAATATAAATGGAAACAGGGTTATAGATGGCTGTCCCTTGATGTAGTGTCTCTTTATACAGCTGTACTGAGTGGCTTCCTCCATGATGGGATTCGCATTGGCATCTTGCCTCTAAAGTCCCTTTGAGGACTTACATGCTTGTTTTTATTCGCTGTTTGTGAGTACCATTCTTTTACTTAATAAATTTTGGTTATTGAGGTAATGCGCAAGGTTGGTGCGCTTCTTTTTGTTGTTCTTCTTCACAGTTAGGTTAATTGTAGTAAAGAACAAAAAGCAGAGTGCACCAACCTTGCGCATTACCTCAGTAAGCAATTAGTAGATTTATTGATATAGGAAATATACTCACAAGAGTAGCAATAAAACAGGTGTATCAAATCCCAAAACTGAGTCCCTGGGTTAGGAGACACGTGCGAATCCCATCCGAAGGGGAGATTCTCAGGATGAAGCCGACGCGTTTCGAAGGGGGTCCCTTCTTCATCAGGAACTTTGTTTTGGGTTTTGATATGCCTGTTTTATTGCTACTCTTGTGAGTATATTTCCTATATCAATAAATCTACTAATTGCTTACTGAGGTAATGCGCAAGGTTGGTGCGCTCTGTTTTTTTGTGCTTTACTACAGTTTATATCGAGCTTCCCCAGCTTTGTATTAGAGCTGCACAACCTTTGATCGGTCCTGGAGGGACTTCTTCTACATATCATACTTTACATTGGTCCATCGGTCCTCTACTGATCTGGGTCCCCGAGCGCAGGAGGTGTTGTATCTGTGTCTACTGTTTTAGGTTAATAACAGGCTTAGTAACTTCACAGATTCAAAATGATGTTCTGCCTTGGGGAGTTCACCATACCCAGTGTCAGTGGTCGGAAGAGATGACAGCATGTGGAGTGGATTCTCCATTCTACTGGCGCTCCAGGGTTGACCATATTAGCCCTCCCTTGTGGGAGCATTTCTTTGAATACCCTTTGCTGCCCAGTTTTGTTTGCTTCCCCTTGTAGTGAATTGGTTTGGTTACTGGATCACCTGAATCCTGGGTATGCACACTCATCAGACACAAATCATTAGAAATGACAAACATCTGCAGTTTAAATGTCCCCCTAAAAAAAGCAGGGCACCCTCTGAAATGCATCAAGGATTGATTTTGTTTTCCGGGTTGGGATTACCACACGTCTTAGTATCCTGTTGTTGTAATGGAACTATGTACGTATGTAACTCCAGGGGTGGTGTGTGTGGCAACCATTGTGGATATCCTATATTTGAAAAATGGGCTACACTCACCCCTAGAAAGGACTACTGAGCCATATGACACTGCTGTACTGTACTGCTACTGATGCCTGGGGTGTCTCTATTAGTGCAGTTACTGCAGCTTTAATACAAGGGTAATCTGAAAAGTTCACAGCCCGATACGGAAGGAGTGACTACAGAGACATGAAACTTTGTCACGGCATCAAGCCACTCTTCCAGATGTTCAGCACTGAAAATAGTTGGCACCCCCTGTAGTCAAGGTGAAAGTGGAAGAAGGCTCAAAGTGTTCCGTCATATTCCCATTAGACCGCTGCCATCACCTGGCCCGCTGATAGAACACTTCAATCCGTCTTCTTCCACTTTCTCCATTTTTAATTTGATTACTATGGGATCCGTTTGCAAAGAGCGCACAAAATCCGTATAGCATGCATGCATGCATGCACCATTTTCAGCCCTGAACACCTGGAAGAGTGGCTTGGTGAGTGAAAAAGTTTCATGTCTGCGTGGTCACTCCGTGTCGGGCCGTGAACTTTTCAGACTACCCTTGTATGTATTTATCTTATGTAAAATATTTCAAGACATATTTAAGGCTGAATTCTTTTACATGTCTTTTTTATGTCCACATCCATATGCTTCTGATACGTATTTGAATGTTCTTATTCAAGGACAAAAGGTTCAAACATAAATAAATGACTGTAAAATACAAAATATATGGTGGAGAAGGATCTGGGGGTTCTGGTAGATCACAAGCTTAATAATGGCATGCAATGCCAAGCTGCAGTTTCTAAAGCGAGCAAAATCCTCTCTTGT